AATTAATTTTATTTTATTTGCCATTAAAACTGTAAGTTGGAGACCCCATAAAGTCCATATTTTTCATCATAGTATAATTCAATGAAATGATTCAACAAATAATCGGTCCCGTGCTACTTTCTTATATTTGTAATGTGTTCACGTTTCCACAATTTATTTCATATAGATGTACATCCCAAATCTACGATCCCAACCAATATTCACTTGGGGGTTACAAATTCAATAGAATACAAAATTTTCTTTTCCGACCACACATTAGATGTGAAAGTGGACTTGGGGATACTCCAATGTGGGGACTTTACATGAATAAATTTATATGTGGCAATTATCTGTACGATGGTTCTTTACCCCAGGGTAGCATAAATACAATTTTTAGCCAAATCAATTGATGAATGTGGTCAAGACCAATATGGGCCCTACTCTGAAAATTTCACATTTTAGAGAACCTCTCTACCCCCTTAGAAACAAAGATGCCAAATAAGGGCCAAAAAAAATGAAAAGAGTGGCCAAGACCAAAAATAGCTTAAATCATACGATGGTTATATAAATATGAAATCGGGTTGTACCCTTATCCGTGAGTTATGCTAAAGCGATTTAAGGTATCTTGAATGTTTGGGAAGAATTTCTGGAAGGATAGAAATCCTTTTCTTACAAAAGTCCCATTCGCTCTACTATTTTGCCCCCTTTATATTTGGTTTTTTACTGATTGTACTCCCAAAGAATTTTGCAGTTTAAGCTCACATTGGACGGATTATTGTCACATGAAAGAAGTAGGCTCACGCTTTGAAATAAGCCCCATTAGGCTTTTTCGGCCATTTTTGCTTGTTTAAATGTGTTTGCATCTTCCAGCTGAACCACGATGTAGACCCTGGAGTTGAAAGGTAGATGTCAGTTAACATCCTATTTCGCACTTATTTCATTGTTTTGGTGAAAAATTGTATATAGTAAAAAGTTATTCTTTAGTTTGTTCACAAAAAATCCACTGAATTCAATATGATAATACAAATTGAAGAAAATTGACAAAAAAGAATAACAAATTGAAAAAATCTTTAATTTGTTCGCTGATTTTTTATAGCAAATGTTTAGAGATCCTTACAAAGTTTGTCAATAGAATGTACTATTATTTTAAAATTCGATTCCATTGAAATTTTTTTTTCGATTTTTTCACGATTTGAGAATGTTTGCAATGAGATCTCTTATTCATGATTTTTAGTGATTTTGAAAAGGTAATCATCTTTTAACTTTGGTGTGACAGCGTTAAATTATTTCGATATCATCTGTTCCGTTTAGCCACCACATAATTTGGTACTACACTTCCATGTAACCTGCCATCGATTTCAGTACTTAAGAAATCAAGTCAATTAAATAAATTGGTATTAATATTCGAATTCAAAAATAAAATATAAAAAACACTACAAATGTACATTAGAAAAAAGTAAGTCGAAATGGAAAAAAATCATGCAAAATAAAACATTACTATTGTACATTTGAAAAGTCAAAATGAAAATGTTAATATATCACATTTTTACTCGATTTTTTTGGATATTATCCTTTTCGGAGAGGAGACAATTCCGAATTTGTGTGAATCATTAAAATCAGTTCAGCGGTTCTTAAGTTATAAGCGTAGTAACTAACACAACTTACATTTATATATATAGATATAAGGGTTTTAACTATCAAACTAAAACCTCTTACTGAAAAATAGGATCAGATTTTTTGAAAGACGTATTTATTTATATTTAATGGAGTCATCATTTATGCTAAAAATTGTGGCAATTACGTGAGCCAGATTTGTGAATTATTATGATTAAAAACTATGCATTAAAGACTAAAACTACGGGCCGGCAACGCGGACTGGGCCAGTTAGTTATATATGAGATTGTAGATATTTTGCTGTATATGCGATATCTTGGATATGAGCATCAACGTAACGGTCATAAGTGACACATTTGTGCATTTGTAATTTTACTTTAGAACTCCAACTCCATGCCAAGTTTCGTGAGGATCGGACTATAAATGCGAACTGTAGAGTGACATACGGATGGACGGCACACATAGCTAGATCGACTCAGCACGGCGAGATAGGAAGATCCATATATACTTTCCTATGTGGGAAACCAATATTTCGAGGTGTTACATAATTTTTGACCCAACCAAACTTATAATACACATAGTGTTGTAGGGTATAACAAGTTAAAAGTCAAAAATTAAGAAGTTAAAAAGCAGTAAGTTCGGCCAGGCCGAACTTTGAATACCCTCCACCATTTGGAACGAATTTGGAAATAAAATCCTTAAAAAATTCTGTTAAGATTGAGCAAAATTTTAGCCTTCTATCTCAATTCGTTCGAAAGATAGCGTGATTACACAGACAGACGGACATGGCTAAATCGTCTTAAAATTTTACGCTGATCAAAAATATATATACTTTGTTGGGTCTGACATGAGTATTTCGAGGAGTTACAAAAGGAATGACAAAGTTAATATACCCTCCATAATATGGTGGAGGATATGAAAACATACACACATAATGTTGGCGTTGAAAATAGATTACTGTGATGACGCATGTTCAACTTATTAAGGCAAGCTTAAACATTGTATAGAAGTCATGTATAAGTTTAAATGAATATATTTGTATCATACGTATATAATATAGTATGTTATAAATACAAGTTATTAGGTGCAGTGTTTATTTTAAGGTAACAAACAGTTGGACAGCTTAAAGTCATAAAAATGCTAAAAATAAAAAATAATTTTACAGGTGACTCTAACACAATGTTTAAACTTGCAAAATTAACAAAATAATATCATTTGACAAATGTTTTTTATACCCTCCACCATAGTATGGAGGGTATTTTAATTTTGCCATTCCGTTTGTAACACCACGAAATATACATTTTACACCCCACAAAGTATATATATTCTTGATCAACATAAAATTCTATATCGATTTATCAATGTCCGTCCGTCTATCCGTCCGTCCGTCTGTGAAAATCATTCTAGCGAAATGAAGTATGTTGATAAAAATTTACTCAAATGTGTATTAGTCTGCAGGACTTTTGGTATTGAAAATGGGCTATGTAGGTCCACGTCTTCGTATAGCCCCCGTACAACTGAACCCCTCGATATTCGGTATTTTGATGATTTTAGCGACATTATTTACCGGAATTGTTTCAAATATGGTATTTGAAATTCGTAATGGATATTACAGCCTCAGACAGAAAATGAGTCATGTAGGTTCACGTCTTCGTATGGCCCCTATAACGGTACCCTCCGATATTCGGTATTTTGATTATTTTAGAGACATCATTTACCGTAATTGTTTCAAAATTGGTATTTGAAGTTCGTAATGGATACTACAGCCTCAGACAGGAAATGGGATCCACGTCTTCGTATAGCCCCCATATAACGGTACCTCCCGATATTCGGTATTTTGAAGATTTTAGCGACATTATTTACCGGTATTGTTTCAAATTTGGTTTTTGAAGTTCGTATTGGATACAATACAGGAGATTGTTTGTGCAGGTTCACGTTTTCGTATAGCCCTCATATAACGGTACCCTCGATATTCGGTATTTTGAAAATTTTAGCGACATTATTTACCGGAATTGTTGAAAATTTGGTATTTGAAGTTCGCAATGGATACCACAGCCTAAGACAGAAAATTCACTATTTTGATGATTTTAGCGACATTATTTACCTGCCAGAAAATTGTCTGTGCAGCCTATGCCAGAAAATTGTCTGTGCAGGTCCACGCATTGTACCTCTCTATATTCGGTATTTTATTTATTTTAGCTACATTATAAACAGATTTTTTTTTTCAAGTTAAGCATTCGAATATTATAATAGCTTATAACAAAAGTTGCCTATGCAGGTCCACGTCGTCGTATAGACCCTAATATATGGCTATATTCGGTATTTTTAAAATTTTAACAGAATTTTTAATGGATTTTATTTTTTGAAAACTACCAAATTTGTACCAAATGGTGGAGGGTATTCAAAGTTCGGCCCGGCCGAACTTACAACTTTTTTACTTGTTTTTTTTTTTTTTTAACTGTCAGCGTTACTTCGCGTTATCGGTCGTTTTTTTCCATCACACAAGTTAAACACATGTATTCATGTGAATGCTACCAAAATATGTCGAACGTACGAAATTTCAAAATCGAACAATATCTATTTTTGTGTTGAATATAGAATTTAATAGTCTTCGATCCACATCGCACTCGTGATCTTTTACAATTTGTTTTTAGAGGATAAAGATGCCGGAGAATTTCAAACCATAAACAATATTTACTTTTTTGCTACAAAATACAAGTACATTCCCAAGGAGGAAACTTTCATTTTATTTCTGAAAGTTGGATGTTGCCATTAAAATACCACGAGATTACCGTATAATTTGCTTTTTTACTCCAAGGTAAATATCGGGCATTCTGCATATAACAATAGTTTCAAATCAGTTTTTGGATGAAGTGGAATCTTCCCTAGTCAAAATGGATCACTATAAACATTTTAATATCAATAATATACAAAACTTACTTTACTTTTTACACATTTCCAAAACAAATTTCATTCAAGAAATCACAAAAATATCCATAAGCACACAATTCTTAAAGAAATGTTTTTATTAATTTTTGTATATTTTAGCATTGGACTCTATTTTTTTACCAGTGCACTATCACTATTAATTTAGAAGAATGCAATAAAGTATATTATAGCATACGTAAAGACTGTCGAAAGAAGTTAATACAGTTGGATAATTAGACTTCGAGTAGTACCGTGTACTCCCAGTGACACAAAGTGTGATGTTGGGAATATAGTTCAATAATCACTTGTACAGATAGTAGATAAAACGAAAACGTGCAAGATGTAAACCTAACCTATTTCAAAACAATGCAATCACGTCACAACAAAACTCAATATACCTTAGTTCGAAATCATAAATAAAGTTCACCGATTAATATAATCTAAACAAATGGAATGTTATTAACTTATCAAACACCCACCTGTATACTACTGGACTGGCAGTAAAAACATACGAAATGGACTGGAAAGCATTGAAGATCATCGGTATGCAGAGCAGAATGTAATTTGTTACATTCAGCCTACTCGGCGTTATGGTGGGGTTCCGCACTAGCTCAGGAGGGAGCGGTTAATCCAGGGGGTTCTCAACCCTGCCACCATCAACCCTAGGGAATGAACACTTAAATAATTGTACTGGAATAAACACAAACACAGAAAAACTGAAAACAAACATACACAACATACTCCTATGACACAGGAGCTTGATATTATTGCTCCCCCACTATGCCCACCCATCCTTGACCCTTTAGTCCAAATACACTCAAAAAATTTAAAAAGGGCCCCAAAAAGCCACACACACTCACTTACAACGCCTAACCTCCTCTCTCACAAATAAAATTTAGCACAACATATTATTTCTTTTGACAATTAGACATTAAGCTTATTTATTAGAATCATAATCGTTCTCTTAAAACTAATTTCAACACGAACACATAAAAAAAACTGGATTATTAATACCCGAACGAAAAACAAAAATTGTGAGTCAATACTCAGATTACCTTTTTTTATTACCCTGCTAGAAGCGCCAATTTTGGCCAATACAAGTACTTTAAATTTCTGCCTAAAGGAGCTCACTTAGACAAATCTTTTGGGCATTTCAAATCCTTGTCCCAAACAACAAAATCAAAACTTTCTAGCTGTAAAATTTTGAGGCAACCCTACACTCACTAACAATAAGATTTAATGGGCATTAATTTTCCTCACATTTGTATCTTAAGCACTATTTATCTAACTACAAACACTACGTTTAACTTATATACTAAACTACACACTAACAAACAAATATTGTTTTAGCTTCTTTTTTTCTTTTGGTCAAATTCGGACTAATTGATGAATTTCATATTTTTTTCTTTTTTATTTCAGTGGTGTTTCCGTCAAAGGAAAAGGAACTCCATATGACTTTTTTCAGCGGGATTTGGCTTTCTTTCTTTTCTTTGGTAAGTAACTTAAATTTTGAATTACATTACCTTCACAACGGCATACTTAGGCAACTTTTTATCTTCTTTTTACAGATTTTTATGTGGGATCTACTGGTTAGCTTCCCGGATTGGTAATGTTGCCTGTTCCAAGTGTTATCCACTGGCAGTTTCCCAGGTCTTTTGGCCGTTTCCAGAACCTTTTCGTTGCCTGGAACCCCTGTGCCGCACCTGGCGATACAAAAATAATTGTTGGGGATGCCCGCTTCTTTTTCGTCCAAGTCGGATGGCGTTGTCCAATTGTGGATTTATGCGCGGCGTTATTCCTAAATAGAACACAAAACTTAACACAACACATCCGACATAACATCACTTACAAATCAACACTTACAAATTGTTTAGATACGCCACACAAATAAAACAATAAAACACACAAATTGTAACTGCCAATTTAGTATTTCCTTTTTCTATTCACAAAAAAAAACATTTAAAAATTGACTGAACTGTTTCTGTTCCACACCACTTTGAAATAATGGCGCTTTTAGCCCTCTCTGTGCTTTATATACGGCCACCAAGGACGCTCAACCAAACTTTCCCTCTTTTCCAAGATTTTCCCACAATTTCCCTGACATTTATTATTTACCTTTATCAGGTGTTCTACCTACCCACTATTATCCCCAGTGTTGTATTTTTGCAACACGTCTCTCATGTTGTACAATACACAACATGAAACTTGGCATCACTTTTTAAAATTTAGCCGGCCGCCCTGCGTATCCGGTTCTCTTTTTTGGCTGGCGTTCAGCACGTTCGGTGCATTAAATTGCACATTACAAAAATTTTACAATGAGGATGAACGCAACAAAACTTCACCACTTTAGGAAAAAATTAAAAAAAAAGTGGTGATGTGCGTGAATCCTTACATCCAGTCGTAGACGGAATATAAAATTGTGGAGCTAAGTAAGTTTCTCCCTTTTTTTTTCGTCACCACCATTTCGCGTGGAATGACTACGCGACCAAACCAAATTTCTTGTGTTTAATTTTATTCCTTCGGACAAAGGTAAGAATTCCCTTTTATAATAAATTCCCCCCCCCCAGAAATATAATCAATTTATATTCTTTTATTACAGACAAATCAAAAAAAATGCCATGTTCATTCTTGGGAGTCTCATGTGTAAGTGTGTGTGTGCGTGCAGGCACGCTGCATCCATTGAAAAAAATTCCATACACACACACATGCACGAAGTAGTTGCAGTCGTGTAAACGCACATGAAGGGTGCGCAACGCCGTTCATTCACCTACATTGCCCATTCATGCCGTTTGTCGATTAATAAATCCCTACGCGACTTTGCCGTGTATTGTTGCAGCTCATTCATCGGAATCGGACAAACCAAAAACAGGTAGTAATTTTTTAAAGAAATAAGGTATTTGTACATTCTAACTCCTTGTATTTTTTTGTTTTTAGAAATTTGGCGAAGTTGCACGCACTCATCAAACAATTTATAACCAGGTCTCTATATTGTGCAGGTAGTCATTTTTTGTATTTATGCATCTGCAAAACAATAGTTTTGTTGTCATTTTCTTTTCCCATATTTACTAATGTTTTTCTTTTTTCCTTTTCAGGTAAACGACCATGGTTGTGTATAAAAATAAAGTGCAAGTGATATTTAAAATTGGCAGTGCATCTGCCTGAAACTTATTTGTGTGTTATGAAAAAAGTATAAAATTAAATTTAAACAAAGAACTGATGTGCGGATAGATAGATTGTCAACCAACAAAAATAGGATATCCAAACGGCTTCAAATCGCTGCATAAGGAGTAAACTGCTGATTGGCGTATTTCAAGAACATAATTCAGGTGAGTAAAAATAATTTTTGTAGTGGCTTATTTTATAAAAACCGAAAGTGTTCGTTTGGTAATGAACCAAGCAAAGCACACTAAAGAGTAATGACATAGTGAAATGAGTCAACGCCAAGACGAAGCTACTAAAGATTACAGTTGGGATTACAGTTGGGAACTATTCCAATGTATGAAGCCTGGTAAAAAAACAAGTAGTCGCATCGACAATGGCAATGAACTGTCACCCTGATATTGGAATTGAAAATGTTGAATGAAAAATTATAAAATTTGTAAGAATTTTTTTGGTGGAAAGAATGCATATTATAACAAACTCTAAATTGCGTCGTATGAAAAGCATTTAAAAATCCACTTATCTTTCATAAAACACTATAAAAATTTTGACATATCAATGATCCCAAGCGTGTACCTATATTCTTTTCCCATGGTATGAAGATGGTTTTATGGAAATGTGTTATACGTGTACAAACTGTGTAGAATTTGAAAATGTTGGTTTAGTATGAACGACTGAATCTGGGATTTGGAAATTATGTATTGGGGGTATCTGTTGGTGGTTGGATTATGAAAAAGAAGTGTTTTTAGAAAAGTGTACGAAAAGTATTATGGTATTGGCGATGAAGATAAAAAATTAAAGACATTTTGATGGAAATGACAAAAAAAAAATTATTACAATTATTCATTCTTAAAGCCGAAAATTCGAATTTAAGGTTCTGATAGAAAGATTATGCCAAAGTGAACAAATTGTGTTTCTTTTTGGAGTACTAAAATTACTACCTCAGGCTTTTGTAACAATTCAAATGCCTTTTTACTATAAAAATGTTGAATTCTAAATGGGACAATGTAGAGTATTGTGTGAGCAAAAAAAAACTTTTCGTGAATCTTCAAAACTGAGCTGAAAAGTATCTAATTCTGTTTTGCTAGATTGCCAAAGAACAAGTGGTAAGCTGATACAATGTTGTAACATTAGATATTCATTGATAGACAAACACTGAAAAGATGAGTACATATTTAAAAAAAAAAAACAAAAATTGACACAACTTTCGGGAAATTTTCTGAAAATACAGGAAAAACAGAATACCTACAAATGAATAGAATAAAAAAAATCTTCTATGGTTTTTAATGGAGAAGAAATACAAACTATCATAAGGCCATATGTAACAAAAACCAAATGATATCGACTATATTTTTGCATTCCCCGGGAAAAAAGGAGAATATTGGAAAAAGATATTTAATCAAAACAAATGAAAATCAACAGCAATGCAAAGGGGATATGATTTTATTCTTCCCTTAATCACATTGCCACATTATATTACTCTTTTAATCTTAGTTGAAAAATCTGTTATGCTTTTAAAATAATTTAATAAAAATCAACTAAATTTCCGCGATTGTAATGTGAGAAATATCGGTTACCAGGTAACAATTGAATACTTTAATGCCGGAAATGGTTGCTAGAAAAAAAATCTACGGAACTTTTCATGAATATAAACGGACTTTGGTTGTTTGAGACAATCAGAGATGGTGGCTATTGTATTTTGAAAGGAATTAAATGGAATATTGGTCTTTCTACTTATGTTTTCCACAACGTGGGGAACTCCCACACCCTGAAGTCTCATTCAGCCGGGCTCTTTAGCTGTTATCTTTGCTTTAGACATACAATTTAAAAAAAAAGTTGACAATAACGACTGAGAAAAAAAAATTCTGAGCAATACAAATAAATAATTTAGGACAATAACGAACTAATTTAATTATCCTATATTGCACTAGTAAATTCTATATCACAGATTTTTATTATTGCGTATTTCCTTTCTAATCGCATATCTATTGCACAAGACCCTCAAGACATCCACATCCTATTTGATAATACAAACCTTCAATTTATAAAACAAATTCTATGTATAAAAACAACGACACATTATAATTTATAAAATAGACATACACGACATACATTTTATAAATTATATTGCACTTAAGTAATTATATCACAGTAATTATATCTCACATCATTTTAAGCTTTTATATCCTTGACATGGAAGTTTCCAAGGGGTTTCCCTTGCAGAGTCTCCAGCTCATACATATTGTTTCCAATAGGTCTCACGATTCTGCACTTCAAAAACTTCTTGCAAAATTTCGCATTTATATTAGTCTTGAAATCTGAGAGAACGTGATTCCTACGAAAGACTTCCTGGCCTGGACGAAAAGTTACATTTCGTGATCTACTATTGTACCTTTTGGCACTGGCCTCATAAGCTTGATGCATGTTTTTCTTGATGTTTTCTCTCATTAATTCTAATCTATCCTTTCTATTAAATTGTATAATTTGGTGGTCAGTGAATGATTTGAGTTTCTTGGCTAATCTATAATCATTTCCGTTGGTAAACATATTGTATCCGAACAATGCAAAGAATGGGTTAACCCCTGTGGCGGAGTGTACCGACGTTCGGAGAGCTTGCTCGATTTCAGATAGGTATAAGTCCCAATCTCGGTGATCTTTCTCGACATAAGTCCTTATCGCCGCCAGTACAGACTGGTTCACTCTCTCTGCCGCATTTGATTGTGGAGAGTAGTACGCTGTCGTTAAATGGTTTATTTTGTAGTTCTTAACCATTTCTTGAAACATATTTGAGACAAATTGTTTTCCATTGTCACTATGGATTGTTTCTGGGACCCCAAATACACGAAATACTTTGTCCTCCAGAAATTCCACAACATTTTTAGCGGTAGCTTCTCTCATCGCATGTAAAAAGATGAATTTAGTGAAATGGTCCATGACAATAAAAATGTAGGCGTTTCCATTTTTAGATCTGGGATACTTTCCGAGGAAATCTACATAAAGTTTTTGGAATGGCCTTTCTGTGATAACCTCGTTTCCTATGGTAGGTCGCATAATAGAATTTGACGATTTGGTTTCTTTGCAGACTTGGCAATTGGACACGTAATTTTTTACTTGGCATGCCATTTTTGGCCAATAATAATACGTTTTTAAACGTTTCATAGTTTTATTTATGCCATCGTGGACAGACTGATTATAATTGTGGGCCTTCTCAATCATCGTATAGGTAATTTCTTCCGGTATCCACAATTTCCATTCAAATTCCATCGTCGTTTCATCAAAATTATTCACTCTTATGTAAATTTTGTCGTTGTCGACTTTTAAATCGGGTAGTCTTTCTTGATTCTCTATTATTGTTTTTCGCAACTTCAGGTACTCCTCGCTGTCAAACGCGGTGGTTTCGAAATCCAAAATATCATCGCTAGTGATTTCTTCTACTGCTATCTCCGATTCAATTGGTAGACGGGATAAGGTATCAGCCACAACATTCTCAGATCCTTTTCGGTATTCAATTGAAAAATCAAAAGCTTGAAGCTGCAGAGACCATCTAGCAAGTCTCCCACTTAAATCTTTCAGTGACATAAGCCACTTGAGACTTGCGTGATCTGTGATCATGGTGAATTTCATGCATTCCACGTATGGTCGAAATCTCTTTACGGCAAGAACCGCCGCCAAACATTCCTTCTCAGTTACCGAATAATTCCTCTGACTTGAATTTAGTTTTTGCGAGTAGAAAGCAATTGGATATTCCCAACCATTATCATCTCTTTGGAAAAGAACGGCTCCAATTCCGTACTCAGATGCGTCACACTGTATGAAAAATTCTCGCTGAAAATCGGGATGTCGAAGCACTGGTGCCGAGGTGAGAGCTTTCTTCAGTGTTCGGAATGATTCACATGCTTGAGGTGTCATCGTAAATTTCTGCCCCTTTTTTAATGTATCAGTTAGGGCAGCGGATATGGAAGCGAAATCTTGTATGAAACGACGGTACCATCCGGCCGTGCCTAAAAAGCTTCTTACTTCTCTTGGAGTCTTTGGTATCGGTATTTTTAGAATTGCGCTGACTTTTTCCGGGTCGGTTTTTAAACAGCCGTTTCCGATTATGAACCCTAGATACTTCAATTCACGGAAACAAAACGAGGACTTTTTGAAACCAATTGTTAAGTTGGCCCTCTTTAAACAATCTGCTACCTCGCTCAACAATTTCAAGTGCGTTTCAAATTCATCAGATATAATCAGTAAATCATCTAAATATATGAACACGTTGGACTTCAGTTTACCAGGTATTACTCGATCCATCAAACGACAGAGTCGTTGCGCCGCATTGCATAGACCAAACGGCATTACTCTGAATTGGTATAGCGGTCGACCTGGTACTGTGAAGGCTGTGTACGGTTTGGCTTCTTCTTCAAGTTCTATTTGCCAAAACGCGTACTTCAGGTCGACACTGCTAATATAATGCGTTTGATCTATTCGACTCAATATCCCATCAATGTTCTGCAATGGATATGCATCCTTGATGGTTAGTGCATTGAGTTTTCTCGCATCTAAACAGAATCTGTTTTTGCCTGGTTTTCGCACTACGGTAGTCCTGTTGCTCCACGGTGAATCGCTTTCTTCAATCACGTTTAGTTTGATCATGTTATCAATTTCTCTATAGACTATTTCCTGTACGGCGGGCGACAGAGGGTAATGTTTGTCCTTGACAGGATTTGCTCCTTCTATCAATTTAATGGCATGTTTCTCCAACTTGGTACATCCCAATCCATTCTTTTCAAATGTCGGAAATTTGTTTACAATTTCATTTAGCTGTTGCTGTTGTTCCTCTGTTAGAACATGCATATTTTCATTATCATTAGCTGAATTCCCATGAATTTTTTGCTGAAGTTCCAGATTTATTTCTTCTGTGGGAAATATTTCGGGTGCAATTCCAAATATCTTCCAAAAATCTATCCCTAAATATAATTCCTGTTCTAAGTCAGGACATAGAAACAATGTCATTTTAGCTAACTGACTTTGATATTCAACATCGACTTCAATTGTACCTAAAATGCGGTGCCGTTGACCAGAAGCAGTGGTGACATTTGAACTATAGAGTTTTACATTAGTTCCTATCTCTTCCACTATTTCTCTACAATTTCTTCCCAGTAGACTGACTGTAGCGCCAGAGTCTAATAAACCTCTAACTTCCTTTCCTTCAATTTTTATCGTAACATATGGTCTTAAATCTGTTTTATATTGGCATCGGACTATTGATTCAGACACAGATTTCTTTAGCAATTTAAATTGTTTTTGCTTCTGCCTTAGTTTTGAAATTCTCTGTTTTTTCTTGAATTGCTTGCTATTCATTTCATTTTGATCTTCTCCGAATATTCTTGACCTTATTTCCTCATAATTTTGTTCCCTGACCTCCAATGGTAAATAATGTCGAATTTTAGGGTAAATTTGTTTATCGGTTTTACTTTTTTCTAAATCGATTGTGGATTCTGATCTGCGGGCTGCTCGGCAGAACGGTGGTTTCCCGCTGTAACCAGGTTCTTCCTCGAGTTTCCCAATCGACAATTTGCACATTTCGGCGTAGTGGTATTCTGCTTTCCACACTTAAAACAAAATAGATTTCTTTGAGTGGAAAGACAATCCCTGAATCCGTGGCCGGGAGTTTGGCAATTCCAACAGACTAATTGAACATTGACTGCTGAAACATCTACTACTTCATCTGGTTCATCGAATACCTGAAAAATTTCTTTGTCATTCTCTTCATGCATCGCATTTACACGAGCTGGTTTATTGTAAGTAGGAGTAGTAACTGGGGCAGGATCGCGTCGAAAGAATGTCTTTTCAATCTCAATACACTCAATTCTCAATTGCTCAAGCGAGGATACTTGCATCGAATAAACAATACCTGAAATATTCTTTCGCACATTTTTCTTAGCCAGGGAGATCATTTCGTATTCCGAAACTGGTCTTTCTAGCTTAGATCTCATTGCGTTTAAGTCGTGGAAGAAAGAGTTTATCGATTCTCCTGGCATTTGCTTTCGCTCTAACAAATCACGCATTTCTTCGAAGCATGTTCTTCTGGTTTTGAACCTTTCACACAAGGCATGTTTTAATGACTGCCAATTAGAAATATTGTTATTCATTTGTTCTAGCCAGAACCATTCATTAGCAGGGCCTGAAACTAAAACATGGAACTCATTCAAAATATCTTTCCATGGAAGGTTGTAAAGCTTTTGAAAATGTTCTAGCCGGTATATAAAGTCTTCTACTGACAAAGTATTGGGTCTGCCAGAGAAATTTATCCCAAATCTCTCAATTCTTATACCTTGAAAATTTTGAAAACTCATGAAGGATGGAGTAATAGTATGGGTACGGTTTATAGGTGGATTATTTACGCTATTTGGGGGCGAAGAAGGGGGTTTAGGATTTAACGTAGGAATTGGTTGAGGCATCTGAATTGGTGGTGCACTTTGATTGCTGATCGATAATTTTGCGATTGCATCATTTAATTTATCTACTACAGTGTAAACCTTTTCCATCTCCTTGCTCACGCTCTTTTCAACCAGAGCCTGCAGATTTGCCTGGGCATGGTTCAAACTATCTTGCACCAAACTTCTGACAAGTTGGTCAACTTCTTTTGGTTGCATTGGCACAGTGGGTTGAGGCATGTTAGAAGGCATTTTAGCTGCAGCACTAGTGCTAGGATTAGGGTTATTAATTGAACCTGATAAATCCCGAACAGTTGGGTTGACATTAGCGTTTTGCATTTTTTCTTTTTTCTTAGTTTTCGGTTTTGGTGATGCAATTGAAGTTCTGCTAAGGTCAAACACTAACGATCTATTTCTTTTCCTGCGTTTTTTCCCTACCGTAGCTGCGTTCATTGATATTACTATATATATAAAGATGGAAATACTTATGTGGTTGGCTGTAAAGATTATATGGAATGAACTACCAACTAATTAATTTTAAAAGACAATAAAAGGGATTAATGTATTACACACAGTTATAAAAATAGTAAATATTAATAAAACAAAACATTTATAAATCAATAGGTTAAATAACAACAAAACAAATAAAAATCAATAGGTATACATAAAAACAAAACATATATAAATCAATAGGTTAAATAACAACAAAACAAATAAAAATCAATAGGTTAACAAAACAAACAAAATTTAAATTTTCAAAGACAATGACAAATATTAGAGGAGTTTAGGAGTATTTTCAGCTGTAATAAAGTATGTGTGTGGTCTATGCTTTTCAAACAAAAAAAAAACATGATTTTATTTTATAGTGGCCTATTACGGTTGTCATAGAGTATTGACTAGTTGGACTTTACAATTACAAACTTTGAACTTTTCATTTAGAAATTAGCACCGTGGCAGTTTTCTCCAATATTTAAAGAAAAGAGATCTCACGAAAGGATAAAATTAGTGCAATACAGTCTGTGGCCCATCGGTTCGCAGATACTGTAATTATCCTATGCTAACCTTAAAATATTGTCGCTACTCTAAAGAATTTAAACACATACACGTCAAAACACAGGTCATAAAACAATACAAATTTTGTTACACTTCACGAACAAAAGCTATTGCACTAGACCCTAATCAGTGGAACAGAATATCCTAATTTTTTACTTTCTATGCTAAATATTGCACAATTGACACTTTTTAATTACTTAGAAAGTGGTTGCAATATTCGCAAGCATGTAAAAAATGCGATATTTTGCTTAAATCTATTGTCTCCTATGGTATATTGCACAGTGCGTAGATTTTATTGCACATATTATTGGCTAATGTCTGGAAGACATTAATGTTTTCTTTTAGTCTTGGGCGCCATATTGTTACATTCAGCCTACTCGGCGTTATGGTGGGGTTCCGCACTAGCTCAGGAGGGAGCGGTTAATCCAGGGGGTTCTCAACCCTGCCACCATCAACCCTAGGGAATGAACACTTAAATAATTGTACTGGAATAAACACAAACACAGAAAAACTGAAAACAAACATACACAACATACTCCTATGACACAGGAGCTTGATATTATTGCTCCCCCACTATGCCCACCCATCCTTGACCCTTTAGTCCAAATACACTCAAAAAATTTAAAAAGGGCCCCAAAAAGCCACACACACTCACTTACAACGCCTAACCTCCTCTCTCACAAATAAAATTTAGCACAACATATTATTTCTTTTGACAATTAGACATTAAGCTTATTTATTAGAATCATAATCGTTCTCTTAAAACTAATTTCAACACGAACACATAAAAAAAACTGGATTATTAATACCCGAACGAAAAACAAAAATTGTGAGTCAATACTCAGATTACCTTTTTTTATTACCCTGCTAGAAGCGCCAATTTTGGCCAATACAAGTACTTTAAATTTCTGCCTAAAGGAGCTCACTTAGACAAATCTTTTGGGCATTTCAAATCCTTGTCCCAAACAACAAAATCAAAACTTTCTAGCTGTAAAATTTTGAGGCAACCCTACACTCACTAACAATAAGATTTAATGGGCATTAATTTTCCTCACATTTGTATCTTAAGCACTATTTATCTAACTACAAACACTACGTTTAACTTATATACTAAACTACACACTAACAAACAAATATTGTTTTAGCTTCTTTTTTTCTTTTGGTCAAATTCGGACTAATTGATGAATTTCATATTTTTTTCTTTTTTATTTCAGTGGTGTTTCCGTCAAAGGAAAAGGAACTCCATATGACTTTTTTCAGCGGGATTTGGCTTTCTTTCTTTTCTTTGGTAAGTAACTTAAATTTTGAATTACATTACCTTCACAACGGCATACTTAGGCAACTTTTTATCTTCTTTTTACAGATTTTTATGTGGGATCTACTGGTTAGCTTCCCGGATTGGTAATGTTGCCTGTTCCAAGTGTTATCCACTGGCAGTTTCCCAGGTCTTTTGGCCGTTTCCAGAACCTTTTCGTTGCCTGGAACCCCTGTGCCGCACCTGGCGATACAAAAATAATTGTTGGGGATGCCCGCTTCTTTTTCGTCCAAGTCGGATGGCGTTGTCCAATTGTGGATTTATGCGCGGCGTTATTCCTAAATAGAACACAAAAACTTAACACAACACATCCGACATAACATCACTTACAAATCAACACTTACAAATTGTTTAGATACGCCACACAAATAAAACAATAAAACACACAAATTGTAACTGCCAATTTAGTATTTCCTTTTTCTATTCACAAAAAAAAACATTTAAAAATTGACTGAACTGTTTCTGTTCCACACCACTTTGAAATAATGGCGCTTTTAGCCCTCTCTGTGCTTTATATACGGCCACCAAGGACGCTCAACCAAACTTTCCCTCTTTTCCAAGATTTTCCCACAATTTCCCTGACATTTATTATTTACCTTTATCAGGTGTTCTACCTACCCACTATTATCCCCAGTGTTGTATTTTTGCAACACGTCTCTCATGTTGTACAATACACAACATGAAACTTGGCATCACTTTTTAAAATTTAGCCGGCCGCCCTGCGTATCCGGTTCTCTTTTTTGGCTGGCGTTCAGCACGTTCGGTGCATTAAATTGCACATTACAAAAATTTTACAATGAGGATGAACGCAACAAATTGAACATTTGATAACGGCCGAACTCCCCAATACGCACCAGTATCGCATCCAAAATATTGACGTCACTTGCATCGTGTGTCGCAAACTGTTCGGTCTCGTTCGAATGATTTTCGTTGCTTACATGACCGCCCGCCATTTTTTCACAGCACAACCCGTTCACTCTAGTCGAGAGTGTCATTAACAACTGACTAGCACTAGTGGCGCTCACTATTTATCGGTCTATTCAAAATATTTTTGTTTTATTTTGTTTTCGTTTTCATACTTAAGTAAACAAAATTGCTGTTGTTGAGACTTATCTCTCATTGGCGTCTCTTGTCGTTCTCTCAAATAAAAATATACGCACACACATATATGTACAAATTTATCACAATTTTCTTCTTTTTTGTTTTGCTCAAATCTTTCTGTTCTCAGATAATCATGTGAATATTTTTGCCGGTCTTCTGGTGGGTGCTGTAGGCGTTGCTTCGTCTCGAAATACAAGAATTCAACCAACTATCCATTCAAAAAAACAGATTCTTATCCGCTGAATAACAAATTATGAAGTGACGATTAACCCCATAACAGCAAAATTGTTCACACAGCTAAGCAATTAAAAGTATTGACTTTCTTTTGTATCATTTCATAAAGAATGTAAAACTCTACATCAGTGTCAAAAAAAAATTCAAAATTTTTAATTTTTTCTGTCAGATTAGACAATACAATTGGGCTTCGTAAAGATACATCCATCCTTCCACACAAACGCTCTGCAATTTGAAAAGTAATAAATAACTTGCATGAAAGTAATAAAAACTTGTAACTTTGCACATCGAATTTATACCCTACGCCACACTGTGGTACAGGGTATTATGCCTTTGTGCATTTGTTTATAACAAGCAAGCGAGATAGACCTATAATTCCTTTTGATGATCATCATAGAATCACATTTTGTGTCGATTTATGCATGTGCGTCTGTATGTGTATTTTTGTGAAATGCAGAATCACATTCATAATCCAAATAAAATTTCAAATTTGTGTGAGATATACCGTTAGCTCCAATATATATTGTTCATCTGATAAGTTCCCTAAAGCCATAATATTGACTCCAAAACAACATTATTCGGAAGAAAGATATCAAATACAGCCCAGAAAGACCTCTGTTAAATTTTATCGAGCTTTCAGATATGGATACAGCTCCCATATATCCCCCATATTCCCATATTTATTGTGCACCAAATGGTCAACATCGAACCAATTAAATAGGTTTTCGCACAAACAATGAATTCAGCCTTAAAGAATGTGAGTCAAATTTACTAAAATCGGCCAGATATAGCTATAGGTCCCATATATATGTTTCATCCGGCATATATCATTTGATAAGGCTCTTTAGCTCTCTTTGAACAAGATTACTTTCAGGTCATTCGTTCTTAGGGTTTGCGTCAGTCCGTCTGTTTGCCTGGTTCGCTTTCTGGCCATTGTGCTTGATCACTTTCGAAAGGATTATCCGATTTGATCAAAACTTGGTACATCGTAATATTATAGTATTATAGTCAAACTGTTTAACTTGTTATACCATCCGTACGTAACACTTCTAAATATTCGTCATAGACCCCATAAAGTATATATATATCCATGAACAGCATTAAGTTCTAAATCGATGTCCGTCTGTCTGTTGAAATCACGATACAGGCCACATTATTTGACGTAGAGCTTTAAAATTTGGCACAATAGATTGCATTGTGTCTAACATGATTGAAGTTGAAAATGAAGTTTTTGGATTTCTCCCATTTAACGATAGCTTCCTATAGTCGGTATTTTGTTGGTTTTACGCACATTTTTCCACGCATTTGTTTAAAAATTGGTATTTATAGTACGCAATGTGTTTTAGCTCCGGTGGCAGAACATTGATTGTCTAGGTCCACATTTTCTTATAACACACATATAACGGTACCTTCGGATATTCGATATTTTGGCGATTTAAGCCATGCGATAAAATTTCGTTAAAATTAAAGTCTGACATATTTGGACCAAATCAATTAGTTATAGCTATAGCTCTCATGTATATGTTTCATGCGATTTTATATCTAAAGACGTAATATATCCTCTAAAGCAAAAACATTTGGTACCAAATGTCACTACAGCATAAACATATTACAGTTAAATTTAGTGGAAAATAGTTCAGACATAGCTTGCTTTGCTTTCGATTTCAAGCCGTATTGGGTATTTAATTAAAATCATTGTTGACATTATTTACTTCAAACAAATACACAATATAAGCAATTATTTTTACCAGAAGCTCTACTAAGAAAAAGAGCCTGTCTCTCTTTCAAAAAAAAAAAAAAAATGGTCCTTTGTTTCTTAGTCGCTTTAAATTAGTGGTTAGTGCATAAATATTATTAGTTATCTTTTTCTTTACCTAATGATGGAGGGTATTAAAAGTTTGGTCCGGTCGAACTTAATGCCTTTTTACTTCTATTTAACATAGGTCAGATTCGAAATTTTAAATATCACTCCATAAAATGTAAAAACCGAGGAGTGGAAAAACAAACGCAATTGTACAAAACTTAATGTCACAAATGTAGAATGAAGTATTAGTGCTGGGCTCAAAAGTTAAAACATACTCAACACCGATTACGTCTGAAGATAACCTCGGGCAATCATATGTTTACAATTTTTATACCCTACACCACATAGTGGTAAGGGTATTATTTTTTTGTGTATTTGTTTGTAACATGGAGAAGGAACCGAGATAGACTTTTGAGGCTCTCCATAGAATCACATTCTGAGTCGATTTATGCATGTCAGTCCGTCTGTCCATGAATTTTTGTGAACAAAATGTAGGTCGCATTTATTATCCGATTGAGATGATATTTTCCAAATAATATTTGTTTGGCCCAATTACGAACCCTATTAAAATTGGTGAGAATCGGTTCAAATTTATGGATAATATCAGTCCAAATGAACCCAATTTTGGAACATTCGACGGAATTCGGTTTAGAAGCCAATACATTAAATTTGGTGGTTCCATATATATGTTTTATCCGATTTATGCATAATTTATCCGATTTCATGTTTTTGTGAACCAAATGGCCAATATATGTCCAAATGGACTGACTTCTGGGACATCCAACGGGATTCAGTCTAAAAGCAAATGCTTCAGGATTTGGTGAAAATCAGTTAAAATATCGCTATAGCTGCTATATATATGTTTCATCCGATTTGGTATATAAGTCCCTCAAATGGGTAATATGCACTCCACAACAATAATATAATATTCCGGGCATCAGACACTGCTCGAAAATACCTCTGCCAAATTTTATTGACATCGGTTCAGATTTTTGTATAGCTTCGATATACATCTTCATCCGATTTCACGGTTATTGTCCACCATATATATAATATCAGTCCAAATTGAATAGATTTTTTCATATTCAACCGAATTTTTCCAGTTGGTGTAACTAGGTCCGGTATATCCAATAAATATTTTTTAATGAAATTTTTATCGAAGTCATATCATGTACTATACAGAAATGTTATTTGGTTCATAGTTGGTATGATCTACTTCATATAAATTCGCAATATAAAAATTTTTGTTACGTGAGCGCTACTAAATACGCATAGGGGTGTAGGGTATCATACAGTCGGCCCCGCCTGACTTTTGACTTTTCTTACTTGATTCCTTTGACAACAATTCATTATCAAATTTTGTATTCATTAATTCATTCTATACACAATTCATAGATGGGAATCTGTTTTCAATGTAGTGTAAATTGGCAATCTATATATATAAAAGAAAGTTGTGTTAGTTACTACGCTTATAACTTAAGAACCGCTGGACTGATTTTAACGATTCAAACAAATTCGGAATTTTCTCCTCTCCGAAAAGGATAATATCCAAAAAAATCGCGTAAAAATGTGATATTTTAACATTTTCATTTTGACTTTTGAAATGTACAATAGTAATGTTTTATTTTGCATGATTTTTTTTTATTTTTATTTACTTTTTTCTAATGTACATTTGTAGTGTTTTTTATATTTTATTTTTTAACTCAAATATTAATACCAATTTATTTAATTGACTTGATTTCTTGAGAAATGAAATTGATGGCGAGTTACATGGAAGTGTAGTACCGAATTATGTGGTGGCGAAACGGAATAGATGATATCGAAATAATTTAACGCGAAAGAAAGAAAGATAATTATTAAATAAGATAATTACTTTTTCAAAATCGCTAAAAATCACGAAAAAGAGATCTCATTGCAAAAATTCTCAAATCGGGAAAAAATCGAAAAAAAAATCAGTGGAATCGAATTTTAAAATAATAGTAAGGGTCTTTAAACATTTGCTGCAATAAATCAGCGAACAAGTTCACGATATTTTCAATTTGTTATTCTTCTTTTGTCATTTTTTTTTTTCAATTTGTATTATCTAATTGAATTCAGTGGATAAAGAATAATTTTTCACTATATAAAATTTTTCACCAAAAAAATGAAATAAGTGCGAAATACGATGTTAACTGACATCTACCTTTCAACTACAGGGCCGACATCGTGGTTCAGATGGAAGATGCGAACACATTTAAACAACCAAAAATGACAGAAAAAGCCTAATGGAGCTCATTTCAAATCGTGGACCTACTTCTTTCATGTGACAATAAGCCGTCCAATGAGAGCTCAAACACACAAAATTCTTTGGGAGTACAATCAGTAAAATACCAAATATAAAGGGTGCAAAATAGTAGAGCGAATGGGACTCTTAGTAAGAAAAGGATTTCTATCCTTTTGCAGGTCATGATATCGATCATAACTCACGGATAAGTGTACAACCCGATTTCATATTTATATAACCATCGTATGATTTAAGCTATTTTTGAGGTCTTGGCCACTTTTTTCATTGTTTGGCCCTTCTTTGGCATCTTTGTCTATAAAGGGTTAGGGAACCATCATACAGATAATTGCCACATAGTAATTTATTTAAGTAAAGTCCCCACATTGGAGTATCCCCAAGTCCACTTTCACATATGTGTGGTCAGAAAAGAAAATTTTGTATTCTATTGAATTTGTAACTCCAAAGAGAATATTGATTGGAAACGTAGATTTGGGATATACATCTATATGAAATAAATTGTGGAAACATGAACAAATTACAAATGTATGAAAATAGCACGGGACCGAATATTTGTTGAATCGTCATTGAATTATGCTATGATGAAAAAT